GGCTGCATAGATGGAACTTACATTTCGATACGTACACCTGCTCATAAAATTAAGTCAACTTATGTAAATCGACATGATATGCCTTCTTTGACGCTGCAAGTAATATGTGATGCGAAAAGGAAGTTTCTTGATGTTTTCACAGGACCACCTAGTAAAATTCATGATGCACGTGTTTTTAAATTGTCTTTTATAAGTGCCACTTTGCCAGATATATGTGAGAATGAATGGCATATATTAGGCGATGCTGCCTATCCTCTTAAAAAATATCTTATTACTCCTTATAGAGATTATGGCAATTTAACAGAAGAGCAACGAAATTTCAATTACAAATTCGCTGCTTGTCGAGTAAAAATCGAAAATGCCATTGGTTTATTAAAAGTGCGATTCAGACAACTAATTAGATTAGACTTTCATACGGTTCAACGGTCCTGTAAATTTATCATAGCTTGTTGTACGCTACATAATTTATGTATTCTTCATGAAGATGAATTTGATGATTTGTTTGAAGAAATAGACGAACAGTTTCAAAACATTGAACATTTTGAAGAAGAGCATAGAAATAATGACAGAGCTGCAGGTGAAGAAAAAAGAAATTTATTGTGTCAGATATTACATTAATTTAACTTCGACGTGGAAAAATAATAGTTTTTAAGTTTATAAGTTGTGTGTGTGCATACAGCTTTTTCTGTATAAGCATTATGAATTAATATCACTAATACATGTAATATCACAGTACTTATAATATTTTAACCATAGTTTACATATATTATATATATATCATTTTAATCTATTATATATATTTTTTTAACATTGTATCTTTCAATATAAAAACAAGTCTTCATAATAAAAATAAAGAAAATTACAATAATGCTTATATTTTATCAAACTAAAAAGTTATTACGTTTTTCTTATTTTAAACATAAATATCTTCCTTTAGGTTATACAATGTTTTTATACATGTTAGAAATAAACTAATAGATATAGAAAAAAATCTTTTATATAATATATCACACATGTCTTAGGAATCTTTATTAACATTCTCTCTATCAAAAAAGCTTTTTAGTAGTTTCATTTTCTCTTCATGTCGTTCTTGCTTTTTAACTTCTTTTTGCTTATGAATTTCAATTAGAGTTTCAATTAAGCTAGCTTTACCTTTACCTTTACCTTTATCTTCATTTTTTAATTTGGACGCTTCTGGCAAATTAGAATTTTTAGCATTAACTATAACTTTATTTGCACTTTGTAATACTTCTGGCTCTACACTATCGTCTTTGGCAGCAATCTGTTTAATTTCATTTTCAAAACATACTTTAACTCTTTTCGATCCGGAAGTCGAATTATTTTTGTCACTGATACGTTTTCTTCTAAGGATTGTTTTATAACGATTTTCGCATTGAATATATGTTTTTTGTATGCCTAAAACTGTTTTTAAGTCTTTCGCGATTTGTATCCACATTACCTTCTTGTTTTTAAAACGTTTCATTGGACCAACTAATTCTAGATAATCGGCATATTTATCTAATAATAATTTAGTGCTTTCATCAGACCACTCGTCGACGTTACTGTTGGTACTTGTATCTGTCTCGTTGTTTTCATTAAAACTTGAAGAACTTTCCTCTGTTCCCTTCGTGTACGAATTAAAAC